TAATTCGTTGAATATCTACACTCTGTACGTCGTGGAGGCCCCCAGTGGCACAGCGGTATGTCTGCGGGCTTACATCGCTAGAATCTGGGTTTCGATACCAGTGGTGGGCAGAGCACAGATAGCCCATTGTGTAGCTTTGTGCTTAATTACAAACAAACAAACCATCGTGGAGAACTGAATCCCGGATTTTTCTGTTGAGAGTCCGTAGACTTACCGCTGACCCAACGGAGGACTCATTAGATAATAAACTCACAAAATATTAAAATAGTATTGACCTCAACTAGAAATTTCAGTCAAAATCTGGCTAAAAAGTACTAAGCGTGCAAGAACTTATGGTCTTCCTAACCAGACGGATCGGGATGTCTAAAATTTTGCATCGAAGTAACTTAGAAAGTTTATACCAACAGTTCATAGCTTGCTTTGATCGGAAGTTAACATTAATTTTGGTTTTTATCATTGTCCTTAACTGTTAAAGGTAAACAGCAGCTTTCTGAAGATGTAGATGGGGGTATATTTCAACAATGATAGTTTTAAAATTCTCCGCTGGCGATTAGGAGTAAAGTATATAAACTTGTTTGTTTGAAAAATTCGGTTTAGTAATGTACTTGGTTGAGAAAAGCAAAACAATAGTATCAGACGTCACCGCGCATCAAACACAACTAGACAATAAACGGCACTGTATAATCACTTAAATATAAATAAGCAAGAAGCTTTTCAAAATGAATATAACTAAAATTAAGGGACATTTGTATCACAGACTAGAATTTCACAGTTTTCAAAGCCTTCACTGTACTCGTATTAAGAGTATAAAAATCAAGGTCAGTGGCATCAGGATATCATGTTTCTCGGCATGCCTTACACGAAACACTTGTTTAGGTGACATAAACAAAATTGGTACGGGATATCTTAAATCCTGATGCATGTGACAATAACCGTTATGTGAAATCTGTACTTGAAAACATTGTGGAATATGTTTCTATAAAGAGAAACAGATGGACAGACACGCGAATGCATTATTATCTAAATTTCCTATCCGTCGAAGCATGCGCGAGTCTAAAACACCTTGCTAAACCTTTATTAGTGCGGTGTTTTATATAACCTACTATCTACTCTTTTTGTCGGTGATGAACACTCAAGGTACAAGACTATTACAATTATTTAACTGTGTACCTTCTCGAAAGATTGCGAGTCTTTATTTATTTTTTTAGTGCTATGTCATTGCACTATGAAATCTCTACAAGGTTTTAAAATTCCACTAGAGCAAAACAATAAAATTCGTTACGCAATGCCACCTAGAATATAATTGTTGTTGCCCTAAATATATAAATATGTGTATTTCCCAGAACGATATTTCGAGTACAGTATGTCATTCTTAAGACTTCTGATTGAAATAACATATGTATTTGAAACTATCTTGAATCTATTAGAATATATTTATATGCTTCTAATTTTAGGGTTTTCTGTTTTACCGTTAATAAAATTTTGAAAAGATAGACTACAAGCATACAAATACAGCGTTTTACACTTGGTTACCTCCCCCACCCCACATGCAAAAAAAAAAAAGGATTCCAGCTTCGCATTGCAGAGAAATATAATCAGGGAAATTAAAACAATGTACCACATAAATGATTAAGTTGTAGTTGTGTTTATATAAATAAATATACGTTTTGTGCCTATAGTTTGACATATAGGACTAAACCTTCTTTTAATTTACATAATAATAAAAACTGTTTTCTTAAATCAGAATACCAGCTTACTTACCACAAGAGATACAGTGTGTCTTATCCCATGCTATATCTCTGCCCCTCATTTAATAACAAATGAACTTCATAGTTCATAAGGCAAATTGTTTAGTTCGTGAATTAAAAAATACCTTAAATACAAGCATATGGAAATTTCAAAAATACTTTTTCACAGATCATTGCTTCTGTAGATAATGCTGTTGTTTCCCTTAATGTTTAAATCATTTTTTTTTAAATTTACAACGTGCATGAAATGTTGTAAATACCAATACTCGTAGGCCCGGCATGCCAGGTGGTTAAGGCGCTCGACTCACAATCTGAGGGTCGCGGGTTCGAA